GGGGGGGGGGGGGAAGTTCAAGGGAAACCCTAAAAAAATGAAAAACTGAGGAACACCCTGGTAACCATACATATGAACGGTATGCACATGTTCATACAAGTAATTGAAGCTGTTTTTTGGTTTTTATGCAAGTGTGCATGCTATGCACATGTGCATACCAGACAAATTGCTTAAAATTACTTGTATGCATATGTGTATACCATCCAGATGAATGAATATCAGGGTATTCCTCAGTTTTTCATTTTTTTTATGGTTTTCCCCTAAACTTGACCCTACTATATATATAGGCGAATGATCGTGTGAGAAGGAGTGTTAAGGTGTGAAGCGTAAGAAGGGATTTGGACCCTTGATCACCTTTAATCTCAAATGCACCCATGAATGGGGATTGATCTGATGCATCTTGGTGCATCTCATTCTAATATGCATCTACGACTGGAGATCCCTTCTTACGTTTCTCACTTTAACTCTCCGGAACCCAACCCTATATATATATATATATATATATATATATATATATATATATATATATATATATATATATATATATTAGATAAACACATACGTATAACCGTATTCGTAGTGCAACCAGAATGAGTTTTAAGATGACATTTTTGAGTTTTAGAGAACTTTAAACAAGTTTGATTTGGTGCAGGAGAGTATGCAACAGCAAGAGCAGCGGCAGCTGCTGGAACGATCATGGTTTAGTTTTTTACCCCCTATCGTATTTACTTTCCACTGTTTCTTGAGCCCTTCAGTTGGACCATTTGGTGTTGTTATCGACCTCTGACTGTTGGAATTCTAAATGGGACGCCTTCGGTTTTGCAGACATTGTCCTCATGGGGTACTTCCAGTGTCGAGGAGGTTGCTTCAACTGGTCCTGGTGTTCGTTTCTTTCAACTCTATGTGAGTCCCACTCTCTTTAGTTTCTGGCTTACATAACTGTCGTCCGTCCATCTTTGGACTTTGAATTTAGCTCCGCAATTCTTCTAAAGATCTTTCAGATGCGAAATGAGTTACTATGAATCTGTTTTCGAGTTAGAATATTCGCTAATAAGCTAGATTATGATGTAAAATGACCTAAAGTGAAAAAACCCACAGAAGCTCATTGAAACGCTACTTGAAGTAGCTTTTCAAAAAGCTAGCTTATAAGCTAGTTTATGGCTTACCAAACAGGGCTTTTATTAATAAACTCATAACATAAGATATCTTATGGCCGTCAAACATGGCCCAAATGAAACAAAGGTCCACCTCCACGGCTCCAACATGACCGAAGCTTATTTAAAGACACTCATGATAGTTTCATATAGAATCTACCGTTGACTGTTTTCAAAATATCTGCATACCATTAGGTGTATAAAGACAGGAACATCGTTACTCATCTGGTAAAACGAGCTGAAAAGGCTGGTTTCAAGGCTATTGTCCTTACTGTCGATACTCCAAGACTTGGCCGAAGGGAGTCTGATATCAAGAACAGGTAAACTGTAGATATCAACGAACCAATTCAACGGTTTTTGTGTCTTTGTTATTGTTACTGTGAGAATGTGGAACTTCATTATATTACTCTCCAAAAAAGCCATCGAGGAGGGAATGGAGGTTCCAACATATATTCAAGAGAAATGATTCCAATCTAGCCGATGTTGGACTCTTGCACGCCTCCTCAAAAGGAGGCTAGATGGGCACTTAAGATGCCCAAAATGTCCTAAAATCTTATTACAACACCATTATATAGGACTTTTTGTTGTTTGATCTTATAAACGTAAGTTCTATAAAGCGATCTATTGGGACACCTAGAAATTCTTGGCGTCCTGTAAACTTGATTTTGTTGTAGCGTGTGAAACCCCATTAAGATTACTCTCTAAAAGATCCCATAAGGAGAGAATGGAGGTTCCACCATATATCCAGAAGAAATGATCTAACGGCCTGTATGTTAGCAGCTTAATGGGACTCACGACTTATTCGGTTAGTTATACATGTCTGTTTCGTAGTAGCTTAATGATATAGAAAGTGGCTTATTCAATAAGCTTATAGGAAGGAGCTTTATGCAGAAAGCCAAGTTTTTTTTCCAAACATGTCCCTCCCAATTAAAAAACACGCTCCTTCCGTCCATGAAAAAACCATTCCAAACAAAAATCTTCTCAATCTATATAGACAAATTAATCCGCGCATACAACTTTATCCATACACGACTTAATGGAAAACCAACCAAACAGTTATTGTTTACATTGATCTCAAAGTCAAAAGCCTCATCAACGTTGCTTTGATGAGCGTTTTAACAAGTTCTTGGGACGATCATTTTACAGATTTGCTCTGCCACAAAATCTGACGTTGAAGAACTTCGACGGATTAAATCTTGGCAAGCTAGATAAGGTATAAATGAGATACAAGATTGATGAATGAATGAATTATTCATTATGAATTCTTCACGAATTTGTGATCAATCTGCAGACAGATGACTCTGGATTAGCTTCATATGTTGCTGGCCAAGTAGACCGGTCTCTTAATTGGAAGGTGAGCTATATTTCGTGCGATTTGTATGCCTATTTCGACTTCGACAAACAATTTCTTCAAAGTTATCGTGTTTGATGTATGAAACAGGACGTCAAGTGGCTGCAATCGATAACCCCGTTACCTATTCTAGTGAAGGGTGTCTTAACTGCCGAGGATGGTAAACGATATGAAACCGAATCATTTTCTTGATTCTTAATTCTATATACTAATCGTGAAGCCTATTAATCCCGACATCCATTTCCATTTTCCGAAATTTCTTTTAGCAAGGATCGCAGTGCAATCCGGAGTAGCAGGAATTATCGTGTCAAACCATGGGGCTCGACAACTTGATTATGTCCCTGCAACTATTGTGGCTTTAGAAGAGGTCTGTTCATGTCTATGTTATTGGTTAAACTGTTTTTTGGTAATTTGGGTGTCCGGGCCCGCTTGCATTCAGCTGAAGATAACAGTCAGTAAAATCTCCAGTGGCTTGAAGATAACAATTATGAAAATCTCAGTGGCCCTGAAGGTAAAACTTTCGAGACAATAAGATGCTGATTGTGAAATTCTGCAGGTCGTGCAAGCCACTCAACACAGAGTTCCGGTATTTCTTGACGGTGGCGTGCGGCGTGGGACAGATGTCTTCAAAGCATTGGCTCTTGGAGCATCCGGCGTATTTGTAAGTGTAAACTTCCATGCATTTGTTGCCCTCGTGGATTCAAAAATTGGGTCCGGAGGGTGAGATGTACACATACCTAACTTCTGGTCCAAGGGTAAAACAACGGTTTCCGTGATGATCACGAGGTTACATCTTTGTAATCAAGTTCGAGTTGGGTAGACGGTTGCTTAAGGAGCGTTTGTGCACGTTGGCTAGTAACACAGGCTCGTTATGTTTGTTAAGTAACCTGTTTGTCATGATGGGTTTCAGATTGGTCGACCAGTGGTGTACGCGTTGGCGGTAGACGGTGAGGCGGGTATCAGGAAGACTCTTCAAATGTTGCATGATGAACTTGAGCTCACGCTGGCGTTAAGTGGGTGTCGTTCCCTAGCGGAGATAACCCGCAACCATATCACGGCACCATGGGACCCGCCTCGTGTCGCTTCTAAGCTGTAGGATGCATATTTATATGGAAGTTTACGGTTAGAAAGGTTATGGTTTGCGAGGTAGCTTATGTTCGATGTTGTATGAACTAGCGTCTTTCGATTCATTTATGAATAAAAATTGGCTCAATCAAGTCAAGTCTACTTTTCTCGAAAGATCCGATGTTTGTTTCTTAGAGTTGCACGAAAAGATCGGTTCCTATACGGGCCATAAAAATTGAGCCTACAACATGCAAACTAAATATAATTAATACATGTGTATTTTGACGATCGTTTCACTTCAGATCGTTTAAAAAGGATTTAAACCATATATTAGACCAGATAAAACGGTTTGGCTATTTTTCAGATGTCGTTTTTAATGCATTTTTGAAGTTAAAAGTGTGCCAACAACTTTCAACAACCATTTTTGGGTTGTGTTAATGTTAATTAAGTGCACATGTGATTTCAAGATAAATCATATAATACCAAATATATACAAAAATGGTAGTTTTGTTTTTATGTGTTTTTTTAGATTGCACAAAAAAATTTATTTCTTAATAGTTTTATTAAGAGGCAGTCGTTGAATCGTTAAGAGGTGAATCTTATTTGACAAAAATAAGATATGTCTTTTAATGGTTCTAAAACCCTGTAAATGATTTTGTATCTTGGGCCTCTCTTAACCATTCAATGTCCTAATTTTATTGTAAACAATTATATTTCATTTTGCACTATATCATGAAAATCTGTTAATCATTCTACCCATTTAATCTATTTGCACAAAACTATCAACCACCAAATACACCTTGAAAGCATTTTCAGATCGTCTTAAAGCTGACAGAAAGGCAAATTTGGTATTTCAATGCCTTTGCAATGTGGTGGCTTTTTTTTAAAAAATTATTATTTTTCTATAATTAACTATATTTTAATAATTAATATATTTAATAAAATATTATTTTTTCTTAATAAATTTCAATTTCTTTTATTAAAAAAAATTAAATATTACTTTTTTTTTCTAAAATATGAAGTTTTAAAAATTTCTTCAAATTTAAAGATTTCTACCCTCCTTATTTTCTTCCTATTTTAGCATACGACCAAAAATATATTATAATCTCCAAAATCTTTATTTGAGAGGTGAGGATTAATTTAGTAAGAACCGGTTAAAAAATAATAATCAATTAAGGTTAATCGATTGAGAAACGCCGTTGTTAAAGATTTAAAAAACGATAAAAGGCAAATAAGAGATTAGTTTATCTCCTACCAGATAAAAAGACAATAAAACATAAGTGCATTTGGAAATTTTTTTGGAAAAAACAAACAGTCCGAATGTCCTCACTTCTTAACAAATCAGACATAAGAGGTTGATAACAGTTTTTTTTATAAATAAAAACAAACAAGGTCTAAATCTTCAAAATTTATAACATAGCATAATTGTTGAAGATGCTCTTACACAACTAACCTCCACCCCACGCACCAATTACCCCACCGACACACTTTGCCCCCCGTTGACCCCTCACCATCAACGACATCCGACACCACTCACCAATCACTATCATCATACCTCTGCGAAAACCTTTGTTATCGTCATTCTTATAATTTCAAAATAAGCACGAAATAGAAGAACCGAACGTTTGTCATACGAATTTAAAAAATAATAGTAAAAAGATGTCACATCTGAATCATTAAGAGGTGAATCTTGTTTGGCAAAAAAAAGTCTGCCTCATAATGGTTCTAAAACCCTCTGAATGATTTTGTATCATAGATCTCCCTTAACTATTAAGCACACTAATTTTATTATAAACAATTATCAAACAATTACACTTTATTTTATACTATATCACGAAAGCCTTTTAATCGTTTTAACAACTTAATCATTTTAGTCAAACCATTCATTTTAGTCAAACCATTCAGCATCTCAAATTGTATAAAGAAATGGTGCATGCGAAGCAAAGAAACCTAATAAAAAGGTGATGCTAATTATATTAGTATTAAAAATGGCAGCCGATTGAAGAAACATAAAATACTTGTCTTTAAAATGTGAACTCAGGACGAAAGTCATTGCGGTTTCTTCTCATATTCTCTCGTCTTTCTTCCCACCTGCACAAGAAACCAGAGAAAAAAATGGGTCAAGAATCCTTCATCTACAGCTTCGTAGCTCGAGGCACCATGGTTTTGGCTGAGTACACCGAGTTCACCGGCAACTTTCCGGCAATTGCAACTCAGTGTCTTCAAAAGCTACCTTCAACCAACAACAAATTCACCTACAATTGCGATCATCATACCTTCAATTTCTTAGTCCAAGATGGATACGGTAAAACCCTTGATTTCTTTCTTTGTTTTTAAGCTTTTTTTTCAGCTGGATCTGAGTTTGGTTTGAGATCTTACTATCTACGTTTACTCTGCTTTATGGAAATCTTCATTGATTGATGGATTTCGAGAAGGGATATTGGAATTTAATTCGAGGGATTTAGGGTTTTGTTCATGAGGGAAAATCCTGATGGCAGCCATTAACAAGTGGGGGATTTAGATTGCACTTGGATGGTTACTGGTTTGCTCTGTTTTTGTAGGGTTTTGCTTTGATTTGATTGAAAAATTGACAGGTTGGAACAAGAAAGTGCCCTAGGAAAGTAGGGTATATTGTGGGTGGAAAAAGGGTAGCTTTATTGTTCCTCTGTGTCATTCAGATTGTTCTGAAATATCAATTGGGCCTAAGGGTCTATTGATGGATTCTGGTGTATTATTCATTATGAATAAATGAGTTAAGGTTGAATATTGAGCATTGATTCAGGTTAACAAGTGTAGTTCACTAAGCAAAACACATTCTTGGAGTGGGTTTGGTTAATTTAAAGGCAATTGAATCAAATTATTGATGAAATGAGCTTTGCAAATCGGTAACAATAAGGACTTTTAGGTCCCTCGTTTTCACGAAATTGAAATTCTCCGTGATAATCCAACTCTTGAATGAATCAGAATCTTGAATCTGTGAATTTTGGCCATGTACGAGTCGCTTAAGCAAATCGAAGCTATCAGAAGACCATGTACAATTTTCCCTTCATGATACATAAAAATTTGAAATATCTCGTTATTTTTTCCGTGTTCTAATCATATGTTTGGTTAGATTTGAGAAAATGATGAATTGGAGACTCTTCAACATCTCAAAGAACCCTTTTGGGGGGTATGATAGAGTCAGATGGGAGAAGTTCATATATGGACCGTAGATTGTTTGAGAACCAACTATCCATGATGAATATACATGAATATTATTCATTATGAATATCATGCATTTTCATTCATAAATATTCATGATGAATAGTTGGTTCTCATGGTTCTCAAATGAACCGAAATGTAGCTATAGTTTGGAATCCACTTTGTTACTTCTATACGTATGGTCGTATAGAAATATTGTCAAGCTTCCATAGGTATCTTCATACAATCTTGAAATACTCTCCACATTTATGTCAACACGGGTTTGTTTGCGAATAATAGCCTCTATATAAAAACCCTAGTGAAAAGCTATGATGCCTTCCCTCCCAACCTTGAGGGCCAGCTCAACCGACAACTAAAGGCCGGACCTTGGGACTCCCATAGGTCGCTAGTTTGAGCCTCCTCAGGGCCGCTGGGGATTTTCTGGCTGTTATCTTCAGGGTCCCATGCAAGCTGGCTCATACACCCACGTCTATTGAGGAGCCTTGATGCAATTGGTCTCTCTTAGTAGATTCATAATTGTTCGTAGGTTCTTGAAAACTTTCTTTTTTTGAGAACAAAGACTATGATTTTTGATTACCCAATTTGGAATTGCAGCTTATTGCGTGGTTGCAAAAGAGTCGGTTGGCAAACAAATATCCATTGCATTTCTAGAACGTGTTCGGGCAGACTTCAAGAAGAGATATGGCGGTGGCAAAGCAGATACAGCGGTTGCTAAAAGTCTCAACAAGGAATTTGGGTATGTGTAGACGAATGATCTTTTATATGACGATGTTTTTTTTTTGTATTGAATCGATACCAAGATGATTTGATGATGCAGCCCGGTAATGAAAGAGCACATGCAATATATAATCGAGCATGCAGACGAGATTGAGAAGCTGATAAAAGTGAAAGCACAAGTTTCGGAAGTTAAAAGCATCATGTTGGATAACATAGACAAGGTACGTTGCAACAGTTGGAATCGCGTTTAGAACTTGTTTGTGTTTTGCTTAATCAGCTTAATAAGTTTGGACGATGTTTCAGCTTATAAGCTAGCTGTTAGCTGATAAACTAGTCACGTTTGGTAAAAACTAGCTGATGAACTAGACGACAATGTAAAATTACCTAAAATGATAGGTTTTTTGGTCATTTATGTAAAATATAAGGGGTATAATTGGAAAAAAAGTGAAAAAAATCCGTGGAGCTTATTGAACGCTACCTTTAGTAGCTTTTCAGAAAGCTAACTTATGGTTTACTAAACGGAGCTTTTTCAATAAGCTCGAAAAATAAGCCAGCTTATTGATTGCCAAACATGGCCTTGATGGCTTATTTGTTCCAACAAGAGATGTACTGATGGGAACATCAAGATTCGAAATGTTTTGATACAAAACGGGAAATTATTACATATTTATTTATTTTCATGTAAGTTACGGTGTAATTTATTAATTTCGTACCAAAATTCGAAAATGAGCATGTTTGACCTCAATAGTTGACTTCGGTTTTCAGGCTATTGATAGAGGGCAAAACCTTACAACATTAAACGACAAGGCTGAAAACCTACGTGATTCGGTACATCCATTTCTTGTTTCCACTATCATAGCCTTTTAAGCTAAACCAGATCAAACAAAACCAGTATATCCCACCCATCTAAAGGTAGGATCTTTGAGTCTGGAGGGTAAGACGTATGCAGACATTACCACTGGTTCAAGAAACAACCCTTTTCAAGCTAAATTATGGTTGTTGAAAGATCGTTTTCCGGGATTGTACTAAAATCGTTCGTATTTTCTTTAGGCGCAAGAATTCAAGAAAGCGGGCACGAAGATCCGAAGGAAGATGTGGTATCAAAACATGAAAATAAAACTAGTTGTTCTTGGTATACTTCTGCTACTGGTTCTTGTAATTTGGCTGTCAATTTGCCATGGTTTTGACTGCACCAACTGAGGGAGGAAGAAGGTGAAGGTAATAGCAATGGAGTTATAGTGTAAAGTTGGTTTATATGGTTTGAGAGGCAGAGTGAAACAAGTTTCCCTTTTTCTCTCCTTTTAGTTTTTATATTTAATTTGTTGTGCTACAAAGTGTGAAATGGAAAACATAAGTTTCTTGAATTACCTTCTCCATTTTCAAGATAATATTTTACTGGATTAACGTTTACTGGCAAGAGTCATCACTTTCACTTACCTTATCGTGTAACATTCTCGTCCATTAAAATAGATTGTTGGTAAGCATCTCGTATCCTGTAAGTGCTAACCAGGTAAAATTTTCGGTGCTTTTTATACCTTTTGTCGATAAGATTCTTGGTTTTTGTCATGCTTCTAAGGGTTTTATTACGAGTTATTATTATTGTTTTTACCCCAAGGGGGTTCGTGTAGCAATCAATCACTGGATCTTGGTGCCTGGTTTAGGCATGGGAATGGGGGACCTCAATCTCCGATTCCTTATCTCCATCCCGTTGGGGAATAGGATCATATCCCCATCCCCATCCTCAAATGTTGGGGATCCTCAACGGAGAAAAGGGGATTTTTTGTTCCTTTATGTAAGCTGTTTAAATCAAATATGTGAGACATTACACATGTTTAAATCTCACATATTTCTAATAAACCTGACATTGAAAGGAATTTAATTTAATATAAAAAAATCATGAACATCATATAATAATTAATAACCTAAAACCAAAAGATATTCAATTTAATCCAAGAAAAAATTAACGTCATGCACACACAAAAACATATCGAGTAAGATATAAAACTACTCGAATTGTATTTTGACTCGACATCCAAAATATTACATATTCCAAACCTAGTTCGGATATATGAAATTATAAATTCCCGATTTAATATATTTTTAAATTTATTAATTAATATATATAACGGGTACGGGACGAGATGTCTTTAGTTAACTGGTTACACCATAACTAGCCAGATTGGTCCATCCATAACCGGTTTAAAAGGGCCCGGGTTTCAATTAACCCCGATGGTTATGATTGTCGATCTCTATTGATCAAGAGATGGACCCACCGACAAGAATGCCTGAAGTTTTGTCCGTGCTTTGTGAATGGGGTGCTCAAATGTGTTGGATATCATGGTTAAAACACCAACTTTCTTTTATCATTGCACTTTATTTTATACCCACTCGACCCATGGATAATGGGTGTGTTTGAAATTGTGGTATCTAATCGTTAATCTTTACCAAACACTGATCGGGTAAGCGTTGATCTTGTCATAGCATCATTTATGTTACCGGATAAGCATAACAAGGACTTAGAATCTTACAACTTTGTAACAGCATATGTAACAAAATGGAGATTTAAAGGACTATTTTGCTTCAAAAAATTCTTTCAAAATGGAGAAAGTAGGAGAGAGAGTAAATGTCTTCAAATATATAGAAGTTCCATAAAATGGTTAATTATGAGTAAGAAATGATATTTTATTTATTCATGATCTAATAAGAGTATTTGGAATAAAAAGTTTAGGAAAGGAAAATAATATTTTATTAAATTTATTGAATATTTAAAGATTATAATTGATGTATAATCTATAAAATGACGAACCTGTTGGAGTTGAATGTAACTTTTTTCTTTTTGAAGATTTTGATTTTTGACTCCATTTTGGATAAAATTTAGAGAATCTGCTGGAGATGTTCTGAGAGACATGACATGGACCGACAATTTTAACTGGCAAGTGAGGTTGGTGACTATTACCAAATAAAAGACATTTACCATACTATATCATCTTGAAGGCTGAGAATCCTATTATTGGTAAGGTCAGGGTAGTGACTCTTACCTTGTAAGTGTTTACCCGAGTGGAGTTGGTAAACGACCCCAAGTCCACACTACTCAAGTTCACCATCACATCACATGTATTAAACATGTCAAGAACAACATAACCATGACATGTAACGGAATCAAACCTAGACTCTTTATTTATTTATTTTGGGTAACATGGGTACCACACCGACTTATATGCACCGACTAATCCTCAGATGATCATGAATGATTTGGAGTCATTGCAACGCAAACGAACTTCCATGGCCACAAGCTGCTTTGGCAGCATCTAGATTTGAACACTAGAAATACGAGATGTCGACTACATTCCCTAAACATTAACCAGTGTCCTGATTCGAACCCGAACTCTTTTTAATTCATGAACAAATGGCTTTTTAAGTGTGGCTAGGATCTTTGCACATTTATATGCAACTAAGGATTCATTCAATAAAATGGAATAATATGTCGTATTAATTAAGAGTTTCAAGAATATGGTTGTTTGGTAATTGTTGAATGGCTTGGTTCGGAATGATTAAGTGGTCAGAATGATTAAGAGCCTCTCATGATATAGTGCAGAATGGAATATAATTATTTGGTAATTGTTTACAATGAAATTAGGGCGTTGAATGATCAAGGGAGACCCATGATGCAAAATCGTTCAGAGGATTTTAGAACCATTAAGAGGCAGATTTTTTTTTGCCAAACGAGATTTACCTCTTAACGATTCAGAAGCCGCCTCTTATTCTTTTCTACTTGGTTCAAAACCGTCTTTAAATTATTTGAAACGGAAGGGAAAGAAGTTGAGTCGAATTAATAAACACGTAGTAGAGGTAACAGCTTGGATTAAGTTATATTTATAACATATTGCTGAATAGCAATGTTCATGGTAACAACATATATTAAGCGCGAAGGGGATGACTTACACGATTCATTCAGCACCATGGCCATTTAGCATCCCTCCATCTAAACCAACGATCCTTTTGATTCATGGCAGAGGTAAAATTGGGATCGCGGCTTTGTTCAGCTCGTTGGTGTTTGTCTGTTTGTGTTGCAAACGCCTGGCAGCACCCAAGATTTCTATCGCGTTCCATTGCATCTTCCTTGTATGATGGATATCCATACCTTGGGTGCTGAATGAACACCACCTTTTTCCACCACAGCTTCAGAGCCTGCATCGAGGAATTCCGTGAGAATATCTGGAACCTTATTAGATTACTCTTAGAAATAGCCGTTATGTAGCGTTTGATACGCTGACAGGATTGAACAAGTTGTCTGTACAATATTTGGTATGTTGGACAAGACAAAACTGTTAAAATGACCAGATTGCCCCTAAATCTTGTTGAATGTTTTTATATATGTGATGATGGGTTATAAACCACAAAAATAAAGTAAGGATTTAAATAATTTAATTTATAAACATTCTTGCACAATATTTATATACATTGAGAAGAAATGGTCCAAGTCTAGCCGATGTAGGATTCTAACACGCCCCCTCCATAAATATTTAAATCCATTTGAATATCGTGACAGATATTTATGATGAATAACATTCATCATGAATACTCACAAAATAGGTGTTTCTGGGTTCCTAAAATATTTAAGGTGCCTAAATGAACCTGCCCCTTGCTTAGTAATATCTAAAGGCAAGTAAAGAAATAAAAGAGAAGAAACTTACATGCCAATAGATCCACAATGCAACTTTGTGGGGCATTAGCCAGAAGAAAAGGGCATGCTGAACAGATGATGAAGATACCCTATTTGCTGTCAAGGAAGCAGTGAAATAGTCACCGAGCTTAGGATGCTTAACCGATATATTTACCACAAGAGTATCTCCGGGTGTATTTGTTCTCATGCTCCAGCTCCCAAGCATATCCTATAATTAGAGGCAATGAACAGGTAATGAAACCAACAGTCAGAAACAATCCATTAGATCATATGCTGAATTTCAAATGCAACTCATGCCTTCCTTGGTTGTTTTTTCCCATTAAGTTGCACTGTGGATTAAGATGGTTGAACTTGAACGGCAGATATATGGTTGCTTTTTGAATTCAGTCATTTCTAGCCATTGTTTGATACTTAAGCAAAAAACAAACACTGCTTGATGGCAAATAAGCAATTAAGCTCATTAAGCAAAACACAAAGTGCCAGGAATCCAATGAACTCAAATCTTTTTTTTTTTTCCTGGTTTCAGCTACTTGCCTGATTTTATTGAATTTCAGAATACCCGTCAGAAAGTATTGTAGGTGATGTTGTAATGTCGTATGTCTATTTCACATAAGAAAATTGGGTATCATTTGGAATCCTGGTACCATAACCAAACTAAGGGCCTGTTTCTTAGCTGCTTAATGAGCTTAATGGGACTCGGCTATAATTGACTGTTTGGTAGTGGCTTAATGATATTGAAAGTGGTTTTCAGGAGTATCTGAGGGGGAGCTTTATGCAGAAAACTAAGTTTTTTCCAAACTTGCCTTCCCATATAAAAAACATGCTCATTCCATTTATGAAAAAACCCTCCAAAACAAAAATCTTCTCGGTCTATATAAACAGATTAATCCACAGAGACAACATTATCCATAAGGGACTTAATGGAAAACCAACCAAACAGTCCCTAATTAACCCATCATTAAGTACACATTTTTGTAAGCATCCCCTCACAACAACCCTTGAAAGCTCTTCAACCACAATTTTTGCCCAAAACAAAATTCTATACCCTTGTATTTTTATGCTATATTCAACTAGTACCTGTTTATTTATCTTTCGGTTTTACTTTTGTTATGCTATTGATGGTAATCTGAAAAATAAGTAAATAGCATATGGTAATTACATACATATAGATATATATATATATATAGATATATATATATATATATATATATCTCTGTGTGTGTGTGTTTGTTTGTGTTTGTGTTTGTGTTTGTGTATATATACATATATACATGTGTAGGGTTGGGTTCCGGTCATGAGAAGCATAAGAAGAGATCTCCACCCTTGGATCAATCCTACTTGAATGTCAACACTAATGAGGTGCATCCAGATGCACTGGATCAATTCCCTTCTAAAGCATAATTCATGGGTGGCCATGAGATTAAAAGTGATCAAGGGTTCAAATATCTTCTTACGCTTCTCATCATAACTTCCCTTCTCACACGACCTTTCGCTTACATGTGTATATATGTATGTGTACACATATATGTGTATGATGTACATATGTTCATGGATATATATAGGGGCATAATCATATTTGTGTGTGCTTATGATGTATATTTGAGTCAAAACAATACCATGAAAGGGCTAACATGAAGTGGTTTGGCGACTACATCAGAATTTGGGTTGAAAAGAAACTGCACTCTTTCTCCCCATGGTGTATTGGTCACCTAAAGCATGAAATTGAAACAAAGTTAAAGTAATTAACATTATGAACAAAGAAACAATAGAAATAAGGCATATTAAAATAATCAGAATCATTTGGCAACTTTAATCTCTCTGTGTAATATTATACATCTCTCTATCACCCTGTCTCAGGCCCTCCCACCCTCTCTTCCATTATGCACAAGAAGATATGAAGATCAGCTTATAATCAGTAGTGGGCTTGTTCAAATTATGATCAAGTTATCCTATCCTCACGTAAAGCACAAGTGAACTAATATCATGCATTTAAGTTGGCCCAACAATGTATCATCACCACAAGAAGCCATATTCAAGCGGACACTGAGCCATTGAGGATTTTCCTGACCATTATCTTTTGATCTTCATGATCCCATGGGGTGAGTCGAGGTGCACCCAAATACACCCAGGGTTACTAAGCAACATGTTTCCATAACTAAATTACAGACCTCAGCAATGCATTTCTTCAAACATCTGTTGGAGCCTTCAAAATCATAGCAGTAGTACAAACTCAAGGGATTTTGTTCGTATCCCACACTAGGAGGAATCGTCAAGAGGAAACTACACCAAATTCGTGCAAAAGTTAGTCAATACACATCTAATTATCTACACCCAAGAGGAATGACAAATGATATAGCAGATTCTAGTTGATGCATATGAATACATCATATTTCTGATTCCAATCACCATTTTGGTACAAGCATATTAGGATATGTTTTATAGTTCAAATCAATTCGAACTATACTTAGTTTAGCTTCAATTCGAGAAGCCTCACATCTCTGAAATCTGAATTCTGATATCTCAAATATATGGATTAATTGTTCTGATTTCATTTCGAAATCATAAATTCTGAGTTCCCAAACATCAACGACCTAAGTCTAACTATAATTTTGAAAAATCGAAGTTATCCAAACCATGAAATCAAATTGGCAATTATAGACTTACACAGGACCATTGGTTCGAGCGATATCCCGAGCTTGTCGAGGGGAGAGATGGTCTGGTGGAGAGTGAAGCGCGTGATCAAGGTCAATGAGAGCATAACGGACGGAATACTTAAAAGAATGGTGAACAGGACGACGACGCTCGTGCCAGACGGTACCTTCATAGAGTGCAATTGCGTCGGCGGGAGTGGAGGGAGGGAAGAGACGGCGGAGGAGGAGGCGGAAGGGAAGGAGGAGGGATAGAGTGAAGGAGGTAAGGATGGTGGAGAAGATTGAGCAGACGAGATAAAGCGCCTCCATTGTAGTCTGTTTCGAGAGGATGCCGTCATCTTGTTACTTTTATGCAACCAACAACCAAACCATGGCCGCATGTTAATCACACCATTTTTAACCGTTAAAAAGATTCCACTGTAGACGTAGATCAATTTAGTGTTAAATTATAACATTATATAATTATCACTTTTTATTATATATTAATTAATTTAAATAAAACATATATCAAAATTACATTTTATTTTGGTTAAAATATGGTTTGTCACGATCTTTTAAAGTGTGTTAGGGTTCGATTATCAAACATTTATTCGGTAGGTGTTTACCGGTAAAATTTAACACTATCTTGGTTAAGCGTTTGTTAATATCATTTACCTTATCGATTAAGCATGGGAAAAGGTTATAATCTTATCGGTAAGAGGCATATCCAAGGCCGAAAGTCTTACGCCGTTGTGAGGAAAAAGACTCTTACCCAATAAGCGTTTACCGAGTTTAAGACTCTTATCCAATAAGCGTTTACCGAGTTTAAGACGCTTATCAACAATTCTTACCCAAATGTCTCTTACAAGTATACATTTGATAAACAACCCCTTAGTTAGACAAATAATTACCAAACAAATTAAGAATCCAATATGAGTTTTGTACAAAAAATCCGTTTAAGAAAAGGGACCAAATCCAGAATGAAAATGGAAAAAGGTAGGAAATTATTTGTGATTTTAAACCGTATAAATTTCAAACATACACAAATCTAATTTACTGTTTACTCTACAAACAGTAAATTATGTTTTTGGTTATATGGTTTGTTAAAAACTGTTATTTTTGTTTCTGTATTTTTGAAATCATAATGTTCATCCTCGTGACTTATAATGTATTGTTATTTTCGTTTTTATGATTGATAGTTTTTTTGTTTTTGGAGTTGATGATTCGCTGTTATTTTCGTTCCTTATGCTTAAATGTAGGAGTTAGATGGAGGGACGAGAATTGCAAATCATAGGTTTGAAACCTATGATTTTAAAATCATAAGGACGAAAATTATAAATTTTAACAAACCATAGGGACGAAAATGTAACTTACTAGTAAATGTGGTGGGCCAAGTTTGGTGACCCAACTACACCAACATCGCTGATTTCCGTTACGTAGATACATCCACCGCCTAAATACATCCACGTAGACAACTACCCTTGTACAAGGCATTCTAGTAACACGTGGCGTAGTCGCATTGGGTGGAGCATATCTTAACATGCACCTTCGCTGTAGGCAAATTGGCGTTATAATCGAAGCCCCAATTCTTCTGCAACTCACACCCACTAAAATGGCGTCTCACTGTTAAATCGACACACAGAACACCACCAAGAACCAGAGATTCCTCCATCTCCGCCTCCCCCCCCCCCTCCCCACACCATAAAAACCGAAGTTGGTGTTTTTAATTCTGTTGCAAGTTCTAGTATTCTCTTTGAAAATCTTCAAGAAAATGGCTTCGATTTTTCAAGGTGTCGGAGCTGCAACTGCGCTCTCGTCCTCTACCTCATTTGACACCAAGAAGTTCCATTTATCTTCCCGCAGATCCTTTTCAGGTTTGTAAAATCATCTTCAATTGTTTTGATTTTATTGTCGCTTTCCTTTTTAGATTTGAAATCACATTTGATTTAATCTGGTTTATGTATTTGCTTTGTTGTGTGTTAATTTTTGAGATTATGATTAATTTTACTGTTTATTGCTTGAATTCCAGTGAGGAGAGCGAGTTTTTTTGTGGTGAGATCTGATGGTGCCAAGATGGACAGTGGATTGAACCGGATAGGTGGCAGAGCTGACCAATTGGTTACAAATGCTGTTGCAGTGAGCATCTTTCACACTCTCTGTTTCTACATATCTCTGCTCGTCTGTCTGATCAATTAGTTTATTGTGTGTGTATTGCAGACAAAGGCTGATACCCCAGCAGCATCAACTGCATCTAAGCCTGGGTAAGCATATCTCATATCATATGTAAACGAGTTGTCTTTGCATGTATTAGACAGTAGATAGTTGCACTTTTGGTTACTCAGCATGTCCCATGAATCTTTAAAAGTTTTCTAAAGTGCTTTCAGTTTTGATACCTAGAAAGAAGGCTCAACTTGATATTCTGTTTCTGAAGTGTTATGGAACTCAGGACTGGTTTTGTTGCAAAGAAGAATGCTATAATTTCCCAAGGAATGCACACCATTAAACCAATTTTTTGGGGGGCCAAACTTTGTAAACCATTGGTAACTCTTCATTCAGAATGTGGTCAAGTGATTTATTGGTCCTGTTTTCACTCTCAATCTCTCATTTGGATCAATTCAATGCCCACAGTCATGTACTTTGTCATGAAAGAACATCTCTGAGTGTTCCACCAATTGCAGATGGTTATCAATAGCTTCAGATGAACCGTGAATAATGAATCATCTATCCATCATATTCTATAGTTTTTCTGATAAGTTACAGAACTGTTGGGGACTGTTTGGTTGATTTTTCATTAAGTCCAGCATGCATAGAGCTGTCTGTGTGGATTAACATGTCTGTATAGAGTGGGAAAGTTTTTGTATGGGAGAGTTTTTTCATAGATGAAAGGATCGTGTTTTTTAATTGGGAGGGGCAGGTTTGGAAAAAAAAACTTGGCTTTCTGTATAAACCCCTAGAAGCTTACTAAATAAGCCACTTTCTATATCATTAAGCCACTACCAAACAGTCATTATATAGCTGACCTAATAAGCTGTCAGTCCCAGTAAGCTCATTAAGCTGCTAACTAACAGGCCCTAATAACATAGTATGCATGTATTTCCCATGTGTCTAACCTTATTTCCAAAATTATGGCCATGAATAAGTTTCTAGTTATATGGCAATACCAAACACTTTGAGATTCATTGGGAAAAGCAAGTTCATCAATTTTGCGGACAGAGGGACCCTACATCAATCTGGCATTGTTATCTTGTGGGTTCTACGCTGTTTGTGGCCTGTGGTTTCAAGAGAAAGCCAATACACAGTCTTCCCAACCCATGAGGAGAGAGGAGAAAGTAGATGCCTGAGGTGAACAGAAATTCATTAAGGATCGAGGAATATGATTTCTTAATTCTTCTAGTCTAGAGGGAGGTGTAGTCAGAATCTTGGGTGTGTTATTCTACATTATAAGTAGCATATACACTACATTATAAACCTTTTGGAACCTAAAAAGGAATGGATGAAAATGCAAAATATAACGTTATATATGAAATATCAAGAAAAATACAAGGATTAAACTCTGGAGTTCAGCTAGATCTTCCCCCTTTTGCTTTAATATTGGCAATCAATAAGTTTAAATCAGTTTCCTTGTCTCCCCATTGAGATTATGTATTAATGTGTCTACGCCTTATCACAATGAGGAGAACTAAGCAAAGACGATAATCTTTCAATTATTACTTGGTGAAAAAACCTGAAGGTCTATGTTTTGCGGACAAAAGTTTAATGGTGAGAAGGTATATTTCAGCACCAACCATTTGTTGGTATGCATTTTGTTAGTCAGATGCACACTTATAATCCTCTTTGACAGGACAAAAGTGCAGTCCATTCGATAGAGACTGCACATATTGCTGAGTTAGCTCTGTGTCTAATAAATCCATTTCATTTTCCACATGAAATTACTATAAAAGGTAGAAGTCAAGATTGAATAAAATTGTATGCCAGCTCAAGCAGCAATTTTACTGAAAATTTTGCATCACTAGATTAAAAAGTGTAATTGTATGATGTGATAGAGTCACAGATCAACCAACTAAGACTGATATACCTTCTAGTTATACCATCTTTGAAAATGTGGTGGTTCATGATGCACATTCATCATTCAGTTAGCAAATCAGAGATCTACTTATGGTTCTATTGCTATCAACCGAAAGATTCTAATAATTTCCTGGCTTTCGAGAGGCCAGTGCTCTCCCAAGGCTCTCGCCAAGTTTTACAAAATAGAGTTGATCTATACCCCTCACACTCACTTCCCTCTTATTTTCAAGATGCCAAACAGGGAGAATTATTGAGATATTGGGATAGTCAAGGGTTTTGCATGGAATTATATCCTGATAGTACAAATGAAAGCGAGGATTATTAATCAGCAGGGAAGCAAAACTCTTGCCACATTTATGACTCTTGAGACTCTAGAAATACTTTCATGTTGCGCGTACTCTAAGCATTAAAAGTTCTATTTTGTAAAAATTTCCAGTCATATTGAAGTCATTTGGTTATCTTGCACAGTTCTGATACATTTTCTTTTGAAACATGTGCCTGATTCTAAGGTGACTTTCTGTGTTCATTATACATTCACCACTAACTACTGTTTATGAACTGCTTTAGACACGGATTTGTTTTAAGTGGAACACACAATTATATTGATCTTATGCTTTACCAACTATACAGAAGCAAATCACCCCACCCTTTTTAGCTGCTAGCTAAGACCTTGATTACGGGTCACTTTAATCTTAGAACAACTCTTGCTACTTCGTTGGCTGATCAGCTTTCTGCCTTATGCTGAACCCCTCCAGTCGCCTCCCTTTCTATTACCAACCAAAGAAGAATCTTGATGTCAAATAAGATTGTCGAGTCCTTTTAGTTACTCTGGAATCTTAACTAAAAGTGCAGCAGCGAGGTGTGGGGTAATAAAGAAAAAAGAGGATAGAAGGAAAGAAGTTTGCCACCACTCCTGTTCTTTCTTTAATCTTAATAGTCCTACTACAGCCCCATTACTTATAGGCCTCGGGAACAAAGTCCAACTGAACCAACAAAACAAATTCCCCTCTCTCATGTGAAATGGTTAAAGAGCTCACCAGTGTACATATATACGGAACTTTCACATGCAGGCAGACTCAATACGGACATGACATTGATCTTTATGCGGGTCATCATATTAATTCTCTTAAAGTTAAATGCATTCCTTTCAGCCTATGGTGAGTATATAGTTGATACTTTAAAAATGTTTCAGTATTGATCTTCATCTGGTATATTTTGGCCGAGACACTACGATGAATTCTCAATTGGCTTCAAATCTCTGTTTTGTCAATCTTTATTAACCCTGCATTAGGTGTGGTATATTGTTTTATTCGTTCTTTTTTTTTAAGTATATAATATTTATATACGGCAAATACTCACGCACACACCTTACCTTTGGTGAGGTTTGAACTGAAGACCTCCTAGGAGGCTGGGCTCTACTGGTAACTCGAATACCATTGGACCAATGACCCTTGAAGTATTCATTCTTCCTAGCATCTATCAGCCCTTTTCCATTTCCTTCCAATAGTACAAGTACCTTTATGTGGATGCCATAATCAAAGGTCGGGTAACACTGATAAACCCTTCTTTATGCAGTCATGAATTATTACTCTTCGAAGCTCTCCGAGAAGGTTTGGAAGAAGAAATGGAAAGAGACGCCCATGTATGTGTCGTGGGTGAAGACGTGGGCCATTATGGCGGCTCATACAAGGTGACAAAAGGACTTGCTGATAAATACGGTGATCTGAGGGTCCTCGACACCCCTATTGCCGAGAACTCATTTACTGGAATGGGAATTGGAGCTGCCATGTGCGGCTTAAGGCCAATTATCGAAGGAATGAACATGGGATTTCTCCTCCTTGCTTTTAATCAGATCTCCAACAACTGTGGTATGCTTCACTACACATCTGGTGGTCAGTTCAAAATTCCAGTGGTCATTAGAGGACCAGGTGGAGTTGGGCGGCAGCTTGGAGCCGAGCATTCCCAACGTCTGGAGTCATATTTCCAGTCCATTCCCGGAATCCAAATGGTTGCATGTTCAACTCCTTATAATGCAAAGGGACTAATGAAAGCAGCTATTCGAAGCGACAACCCTGTCATACTTTTTGAGCATGTTTTGCTCTACAACCTTAAGGAACGTATCCCAGACGAGGAATACGTTCTAAATCTTGAGGAAGCCGAAATGGTCAGACCCGGAGAACACGTCACGATTCTGACGTATTCCCGGATGAGATATCACGTGATGCAGGCTGCCAAGACTTTAGTAAACAAGGGTTATGACCCTGAAGTTATTGACATCAGGTCTTTGAAACCGTTTGATCTTTACACAATCGGGAACTCAATTAAAAAGACTCATCGCGTGCTTATTGTGGAGGAATGCATGAGAACCGGTGGAATTGGTGCGAGTTTGACAGCAGCCATCACAGAAAACTTCCATGACTATCTGGATGCACCGATTGTGTGTTTATCGTCACAGGATGTTCCAACTCCGTATGCAGGGACTCTAGAGGAATGGACCGTGGTCCAGCCACCCCAGATCGTGGCAGCAGTTGAGCAGCTCTGCCGGTAAGAAGGCGGCTAAGACCAGCAGAAATGAGTCTACTCCGTCTTCATGCTGGTATGCTGTAGTTTACTTATATATGTTTGTGGTGTTTTCTTTCTAGTTGTCTTGGTTAGATATTTTTTTGCTAGACCAGCCATCCTACTACGAAATGTATTGCCGTTGGACAATACAATCCAAATAGGATGCAGTTATGATTTAATCCGTTTGTTCCGTCTGTCCTCGTTTGATCTGATACATAATTTAATAGAATTTTTTAGTTAATAAAAAGTTTAGTTTCCGTTGTCGAATTCGATTTGCATTCCAATTCCAAAACCACATTCCACGAACCGATCAGAAGGTTCAAATGAATAAAATTTGACATTAATTATATCAGAAACTGTCCGCTTTGTTCACACCGTGTAAACGAGTCCAGTCGAGTAGCAGGTTATTCAAGCTTAACTCGAAAAAATAATATTAGGCTCGAGCTCGACTCGAGCTTGATTAACTTTTTCAAAAAGTTGGCTCGAACTCGATGATTTTTATATTTTGGTTATATAATTTGTAAACATATAAATATGTTTGTCTTGAAAAAATGTATGTTGACCATTTTCGGCTTGGCTCGTAAAGTTTAATCGAGCTTTCACACGAGTCGAGTCGAGTCGAACATTGGTATTATGGAGCTCGAGTCGTTAAACTAAAGGAGCTTTATTTTATGTTCGAGATCAACTCGAGCTCGATAACTGTTAAAATCGGGCTTGAGATAAATGAGGTCGAACTCGAGTAGCTCGTTAAAAACTCGACTCTTTTACACCCCTACTCACACGTCTGACAAATGAGGTATCCAATCTTTTATATGGAAATCTTTGTTCCCGTCCGTAAGCTACGTAACATCTTACAAATTTAGGGTTAAAATAATCAAATTTGGATGATAAGAAAATGTATAGTAACTAATGATCTTGAGAAAGAAATTTTTATCTTAATTATAGAGCAATAGCTACATAGTTTTAGGATTATGTAATTATTGTATTTTTTTAATTAATAAAATGACAATTTTATCCATGTTTATAAAGAAAATATAATAAAAATAAACATTTACTTTTAAAAGTATACATTTATTTTTAAATAAATTAAAATTTAAATATCAATTGTGGACATTTATCTATACTATATTATAAAGCATATGACAAAAATTCTTAAAAATTATTTTTTATGCATGAAGTACTGTTTATTAATACACATTATTTATAATTCAAGATTACAAGTAAATTGTACATAAGTACAACTTATTAAAGCTTTATGTTTTGAATTCATGTAACTAACTGCAGATATATATAATCGAGAGAGTCAAGATCTCATTTTAAATATAAAAAATTTATAATATAATTAGGATAATCATTGAAAATATTTAATTATTATATTTATAAAAAATATATTATTAAATAAAAATAAAAAATAAATTAAAGAAATACAAAAAGAAATTTTTTTTTAAATAGTTAGTTTAGTACTAATATCAATTTATTTTTTTTCAATTCTTTATGATATATTCATATTTATATCTTATTTTAAAAATAAAAACATTAACAATTTCTCAAAACTATATTAAATCGTATTATAATATCGACTAAAACAAAAAAAACATAAAACATTAATTTCAAGATGTATCTCGTTGTATTGTGTCATTACCCTTTTTATTTTTTGCTTTTTAAAGAAATATTTTAAAGACTGAAAATAGGGAAAACCAGACGGAAACAGCCATAGTTTAATTAAAAATTAAAAATTAAAAAATGTTATTTCTAAAAATAGCAATAATCACTTAACCCAAAGTCTTATTGACGGTGGACATCGAGTGGACCAAGCTGGCGGTAAAGTAGAATAAGTAGTGGAGTGAAGCCTACTCCCATCGCCACGCCACTCGTGTTTGCACGGGTGGGTCGGCGTTCATTTAATTTCACACCCATCAACACTCCATTCCTTTCGGTTTTCACCAATTTATAAACACCACCATCCTCCATCACCCCCTTTTCTCAATCATCACTCACCTTCTCTTTGATCTCTGAGGTGGGTTTTCTCAAATTTAGGGTTCTTGGAAAGTTTGTGGATTTGGGTTTGTTTTCAAGAATGCAAAGGGTTCGAATGTCGTCGTCCCATTTCCATTTGAAATCAACTCCTCAATTCAAGTTGGATGCTGTTCCTGATGATGATTTCGTGGAATCAGAATCTTGTTTTGATCCTCTGATTCCTGGTCTTCCTGATGATATTGCTCTTAGTTGTCTTCTGCGGCTGCCCGTCGGCTTTCATTCAGCTGGCCGGAATGTTTGCCGCCGGTGGTATCATCTGTTCGGAGATAAAGCTCGATTCTTTACTCAAAGGAAGGTAATGGGGTTTCAAGATCCATGGTTGTTTGTGCTTTCTTTCCATAAATGTACTGGAAAGATTCAATGGCAAGTTCTTGACCTTATTCACCTCTCATGGCATACAATTCCGGCGCCGCCGTGCATGGAGGAGGTCTGTCCACAAGGGTTCCGATGTGTTTCCGGTGACGGAATGTTGTTCGTCTGTGGTGGCTCGGCGGCGGACGTCGATTGCCCACTCGATTTGGTGTTGAAGTTTGATGTACGATTGAATCGTTGGACTTCGATGAAGAAGATGAATACTCCGAGGTCGTTTTTCGCTAGCGGTGTGATTGACGGGAAGGTTTATGTTGCCGGTGGAAACAAAAGTGATCGGTTCGAGCTTAATTCGGCGGAGGTTATGGATCCGAACGACGGTATATGGCGCCCCGTTGCGAATATGGGTGCACCCATGGCCGCTTACGATGCAGCCGTGCTCGACCGGAAGCTTTTTGTGACCGCAGGCTGGTTTTGGCCGTTCTACGTCGTTCCACGGGGTCAGGTTTACGATCCGAGAACCGATAAATGGGAGTGTATGGCGACGGGCCTTCGCGAAGGATGGACCGGGTCAAGCGTCGTGATGTTCGGGCGTTTGTTCGTGGTGTCGGAACACGAGAGGACGAAACTTAAGGTTTACGACTCGAGTAATGATGCATGGGAAACCGTCGAAGGGCCTCCGTTGCCGGAGCAGATATGCAAGCCGTTCGCAGTGAACGGATGCAACGGCAAGATTTACGTCACCGGAAGAAACCTGCATGTTGCAGTTGGTTTTATTCATATTTATCGGTTGTGCAAAACAACCGATGAAAGCATGAATTTTTCAGTCAAGTGGCAGGTCGTAGAAGCTCCACGGAGTTTCTACGACCTAACACCTTCAAGTGCGCAAATTTTGTTCGCATGACAAACGACAAGAAATTCGAGTTTGGACACATGATACCGCTCCTTATGTAATTATGGTTTGATATGTAGCCGTGTGAAAGAAACATGTATTATATTCCAGTGTTTGCGTTTTTAGAGTAAATTGCATGAAAAAGTAACGTACTTTAATTTGATTTTTAATTTAGGTAATGTACTTTTAAAATTTTTATTTTGGTACCTAAGATGTAAAGTTATAAACATTTAAGTACCCGAATAACCGGTTGAAGCATTAGCCGGTTATTATGTTGATGTAGCTAGTGATGGGATGAAATTGGTGAGAGTTATCTCTCACCTACTTTATCCATTTTGTAGAAAGTTATAAAAATCTATATTATATTCTATATTATAAAGCATTTGACGAAAACTTTTAAAAACCATTTTTTATGCATGAATTAATGTATATTTATGCATATTACTTAAAATTTAAGATTACAAGTAAATTATGTACAGCTTATTAAAGCTCCGTGTTTGAATTCGTGTAACTAACTGCAGATAAACATAATCAATAAAGGATAAACATCTCATTTTAAAATATAAAAAAATCTAAAATATAATTAGAATACTTATCGAGTTCTAACAAAATAATTAATTATTATTTTTATAAGAAATTATATTATTAAACCAAATATAAACTACTTCGAACATAAATTAAATTATAATAAAAAATATTGAATTAAAAAGTTACACAAAAAATAAGAATTTTAATTAGTTAATTTGATACTAATATCGATATATTTTTGTCAAATTTTTATGATATCTTCAAATTTATATTTTAACCAAAAATAAAAACATTATTCATCTTTTCAAAATCACCTAAGATTATACTATAACATCGACTGAGATAAAAAAATAAAATAAAATATTAAAATCAAGATATATCTCGCTGCATGGCGTGAGTATTTTTCTAATATGTTAAAATTAATTACGAACTTAAAAAGAATTTATTATTATTATTATTATTATTATTATTATTTAAATTATTATCCATAAGAATTTTTCATGCAATACCAGTTTTTTCTTAACAAAATTAGGGATGGACTCATAATTTTCTTTTAAATGATGTCATCATTTGACTATAAAAAAATATAATTAAAATTTTTTATGAATAAACATTTTTGAAATTATGTTTATGATTAATTATTTATACTAGTTGTGTATCCGTGCAATGTGGCGGGAGCCGTGAATTTTAACGATTTTGAAGTTTCACTGGTTTTTTTAGAAGATTTAATGATGATATAAGTTACATTTGCTCTTTACATATTAATGCAATTTGAATAAATAAGAGTTATGATTTCAATTACAGTCTATCGATGAAAAAATTGTATGACAATTAAAAATCCAATATATCTAAAATCCAACATATTTAAACGACTCCAAAAATATGTTTGATTTACACCAAGAGCAAAAAATCAAGAGATAGAGAACGAGACCAAGAGTTCTAGAGCAATTGAATGAGAGAACTTTTAATAACTCATGGTGAATATCAGTTTGAATCTCACGTTGGGGGATAGAGAGAAGACATAGAGGTATGAGAGGGTGAAAACATGAGTGAAAGATATCAAAAATATCTTGGGAACATGAAAAAAAAAGTAATAATGTGCATTGGTAACTTGTACTATATGTTATTTTAATTATAGATTAAGATATTTTAAAACTGAATGTATAAGGTAGTAGTACTTAATGCATTATAAGTTATTTTTAAGACTTTTAAACTTTGTGTAAAATTGTTTTTAAGATTTTTGATAAATCTGGTTTATAAGATAATACAGATAATTTGTGTTTTAAAAAGATAAAAATATTTATATTTAAAAAAAAATCATAATTTTGACCAACCGAAATTGATGAGATTGTTCCCGAAATTTACGGAATCCTAGTCAAAGTTTTACACTACATCATATATATATATATCCGTTTTTACGGTTAATTTTGTTTTTTTATGTTTTTTTATACAAGATTAATAGTTTATCATTTAATATTGATATATATATATATATATATATATATATGGCAAATTGCATGAAAAAAGTAACGTACTTTAACTTGATTCTTATTTTAGGTAACGTATTTTCAAAACTTTCATTTTGGTACCTAATATATAAAGTTTTAAACAGTCAAGTATCCGGGTAACTGGTTGAAGTATTAACCGGTTATCATACTGATGTGGCGAATAATGTGGTATCCAACTCGGTATTATTTGTTAACCTAGTCAGTGACGTGGATTTTTTTTTATCTAAAATTAGTTTTTTTTTTAGTCTAAAATTAGTCTTCACTGGGTTACCTGGGTACTTAAATGTTTAAAATTTTACATCTTAGGTATCAAAATGGAAGTTTTGAAAGTACGTTACCCAAAATAAGAATCAAGTTAAAGTACGTTACTTTTTCGTGCAATTTACCCATATATATTTATATTATATTATAAAACATTTAACAAAAACTCTTAAAAACCATTTTTTATACGTAAAGTATTGTTTATTAATTCATATTACTTAAAACTCAAGATTATAAGTAGCTTGTGCGTAAAGCTCCATATCTGAATTCGTGTAACTAACTTCAGATAAACATAATCAAATACAGGATAAACATCTCATTTTAAATATAAAAAATCTAAAATATAATTATGATAATCATTGAATTACACTTATAACAGAATACTTAATTAAACCAAAAATAAACTAGTTTGTTATTAAACTTAAATTAAATTATAATAAAAATTTTGAATTAAAGAAATTACATAAAAAAAGAGAATTTTTAAATAGTTAATTTGATATTAATATCGATAACATTATCGTTTTCTCAAAATCACATAAAACCGTATTGTATCAACAAAGTCAAAGAAATAAAACTAAGCATTATCTCGATGTATCTCGCTGCATTACGCAAGTATCCTTCTAGTATTAATTAATGACGTTTTGTTGAACGATGAATACATAAATATATCAGAAATATATTATAGATTTATATTTCATAGTTATCTATTTGTTTTTTAATTGTTTTAAAATTTCAAAATGCCAAACTAATTGATACAAATATAAATATATGATAATTGAAACATAATTTAGTTTTATTTTAATAAAAGTTACATTTCAGTTATATTTATTGTTTTATATTATGTTATTTATGTCTGTACGAGCTAATTTACTTATATAGGTGTAAGTGTGAGTTTAGGTTAGGATTTTTATTCAATATTTGAGTGTTTCTACTCTTTACCATTTTGTAAACTTGGTCACTTAAAACGGAACTTAAACTCGACGCAGATAAGTCGATCACTTTGAAGTGTTAATATTAGATCTTGAGAGAGTCTTTGATAATTACGTAGAGATGTGAATTTTGGATGTATTTAGCTAAAGATAAAGCATTGGTTATTCATAATACAAAGATATTTGAGTATGGATTTTATTTTTTCTTCTATTTAGCTAAATCAACAAGTTTCGAAGTGGTAAAAGTGTGAACTTTGTGGGGACTGTTTATGATTTTTCACTTTCGAGAAATTGAAATTTTTATAAACATCTCATAAGTTTCTAATCATTATATTGTTGATTTTATCTTAAGGAATACTTACACCCATGTCCATTCTTTAGTCCATAGGTTCATTTCGCTAATTTAGTCTTTTGAAGTTTTTTATAAACAAATATCCAACTTTTATTCACAAACCGAATCACGCTCAAGAAGTTCATGAAAGTCTCTGATTCCCACTAGTTCAATCCCCGTGGAAACGATATCGGTATTTTACCACTCTATTACTTGCAAACGATTATATTGTTGGTGTGCACTTGCACCGCCACCATGGAGACTTTGTACCAACTGTGTGAACACGAACGATCCTAAGTTGTCAGTCATGTGTTTGATAGGACTAAAATAATATTGTACTAATTGTCTGTTTTTTGTTTGGTAAGTTCGACAACAAGCCCAAGCCCTTCTCCCCAAAGAGCAGTAGTTGCCTTTTAAATTATAAAAAATCCAAAAGGTATTCTCCAAGTCACAGCTACGTGCTGGCACTCAATGAGTAGCGCTGGCACAGGAGTTTTAGCTCCGATTAGCAAAGTATCGGAGAAACATTCTATTTAAGAATCAGGTATAGAACCACTAGGCGACGGTCGGTTACAATTTAGAAACCGCTGTTATATGTTTGCTCTACTTTTTGTTGTTTGCCGCCGCAAGGTTGGCTAATCGTATGCAGCAGGCTCGAAGACGGATTCGAGCTTCAATAGACAACGAGACTGGCCATGTTTAATCTTTTTATATATTATAATAATTATAAATCAACCAAATATTTAAATAGTTTTATTAATAATAATTATAAAAATCAGTAGCCACGGAGCTTGGATACGGTTTCCTGATCGGAGATCCATGGATCACAGACGGTACAATCGGGGGCGAGTCACCTTCATGCGGGGCTACCTAGCTACCATGGAAGATAAACCTTCCTCCGTTGTCCACCGTTATACCCCAAGCCACGGTGAAATAGCCCTCGAAGTGCACTAGCTGACTTTTGTCCGATGGTTGGATTGAAGGATTGAACTGATGGCTATTCTGCTTAAAACTAGGCTAGGAAATGGGCCTAACTCCACTCGGATGAGAGATCCAACACGACTGACAGATAAGTCTAATAGCAGGTCTAATTTTGAATTCTGTTAATTAACTTTTTAATCTATACCATTAAAAAAAATCTTCAATTTGATATCTAAATTTAAAAAAAAAACGATATTTGAAATGAAAAATAGATTTTATTGCATTAATTTTTGAAAAAAAAAAATTAGTTATTTTTCTATAATTATTTTGTAAGTTGGTTCCCTAAAATGACGATTTTGAAAGTTGATTCCCCAAAATAAGAATCAGGTGCAAGTTGGTTCCCCAAAATAACGATTTTGAAAGTTGGTTCCCCAAAATAGGAATCAGGTGAAAGTTGGTTCCATTTTTGTGCAATTTTCCCTTTTATCTATTATGAGACTACCTCCGCGCTTAAGCTCTTCAATTATCACCGCATTTATCGCAAATTTCATAAAATAATAGGTCTAACTCAGCGCCCTTCCTTCTTCAGCTTGATAAAAGCATTCCAACACAACAATTATAAATACCACATTATAAATATGTATACATTATTTAAAAACATTCCAACACAGTAATTGTAAATACCCTATGATTTTTAATGTAATTGTTAATATCATATCAGTACTTTTTGTTGATGTAACAAAAATTCATATAAGAAATTACGAGTATAATCTCTTAGTAAAAAATCATTTTTTTTTGGTTCATAGTTAATTACACATTATGATCTGATGTGGTGTATTTAATATAATTTACGTGATATTTTGGTTATATAAAAATATAGTTTGATTTAGGGCAAATTGCACGAAAAAGTAACGTACTTTAACTTGATTCTTATTTTGGATAACGTACTTTCAAAACTTCTATTTTGGTACCTAAGATGTAAAATTTAAACATTTAAGTACTCGGGTAAAAGGTTAATGTTGCGAGTGATGTGGTATCCGATTAATGCTTCAACAAATAATACCGAGTTGGATACCACATCAACATAGTAACCAGCTACCCAAATATTTAAATGTTTAAAACTTTACATCTTAGATACCAAAATGGAAGTTTTAAAAGTACGTTACCCAAAATATGAATCAAGTTGAAATACGTTATTTTTTCATGTAATTTGCTCTTTGATTTATAGCACCAACACATTTCAACATATGAGCATCTAATCTAATAAATAATAATTCATGCTCCCTCTGTCCCAAAACAATTTACATTGTGAAATGGGCACAAAGTTTTAGAAATATATAATAATTATTTATTTCTAATAAACTAAATGACACTTTTACCTCAAATAATAGAGGGGAGCAATTTTCTTCGTCTCAAAATTAAGGGTAGAACAGGAAAGTGGACACTTACATAGAGTTTAGACAAACTAAATAGAAACATGGACACTTAGTTTGGAACAGACATAGTAGCACAAATATACATTTAACACTCAACTCGACATATCTCGAGGACAAGCCGGTTTCAATGGCGAACGAGAGGTATAAAGATTACCTTTGCAGTATGCGTTGCCGCTTCTTGTTCCTTGTAACTCTTCCATTCAACGGCTCTTTAATCGTTGCATAACGTTAGCAATGACGGAAGGGTCTGAAATTTTTACGCTCACACGTTATAGTGCAGTAGATAATAAAAACCATATGGCGGCAATTATAATTTACAGTTAAAGTTCTACATTCTCAAAAAGACTAGAAAAGATAAGTCATCCCTGTACATACACAGACATGGGGATCATAAGAAATCGAACCAAAAGTACGTCCCATGTCGAATGCGGAAAACAGAAGCATCGTAACTGGTTTTACGCTAGGTAATTGTATATTTGAGGATTGTTCCTGTCTCTCTCTAGATATTCCCGATCAATCAGGCTTTCGATCCTTTTCTTCAAGTCCGATGGCTTTATAGGGAACTTCAGCTGCGTTACAACAAAAACGAGTGATTAAAAAATCAGCCTAGTTTGTGAATTTGTAAATTTTTTCAACTCAGGTCTCACAAGTTTGTGGGTTTAATGGAGTAGGTGCATGTTCATTTGGGGTGCATTTGGTACCGGACAGCACAAGACAAAACAGGACGGAACAGGGCCGTGGTAAGACAGGGCTGGACTAGTAAAATGACCAATTTACCCCTAATAAGTTGTTTATATATTTTCTATAAGTTATTTAATTTATTATATATTATAATAAAATCAATATTTTTTATAACAAAATATATCATTGTAAAGTTTCTGTGAAAACGATTAAAATGACATCAAAATATGAAGTTTATGTAATTTCCAATTTTTATTTTATACCTTTTCTTCTATATTATGTTTTCATTATTAAAATTTAATAAATTACATAATTTAACCAAAACAGAGAATATGTATAAAAATAATATTTTGAAGATGGTAAAATGAAAGTTTAAAGAGGATAAAATATGATAAATAAAATTTAAAGAATAGATAAAATGTAAAGAGGGGGTGTATTTGATGTTTTAGAAGGAAATTAGGTTTTATGTTGAGGGTATATTGATAAAATATAGGCTTGTTCCGCCTTGTTCCATGATTAAAGTTATGTCAAACATGGAACAGTGATCCTTGTTCTGTTCTTTCCGGTCCACTTGTACCAAATACACCCTTGAGAACTAACTATTCATGAATTATTCATCATAGTAGATATTCATGATTGAATGATGTCATGATGAAAAACATTCATGAATACTTAGATATATATATACATATATATATTCATCATGAATAGTTGGTTCTCACGGTTCTCAAAATATTCAAGTTTCCTAAATGTACTTTCCCTCAATGGAGTAGTGTCATGGACTAGTTTAAAAACAACTGCTCCTTATTGGTTAAAATATGAAGTTGACTCGTTCCGATGTTAACTTGTTCCAAGGAAATCTTTGCAGTGGACCAACTCTTCACAAAAGGAATCAAGGATTATATATGTTACCTGCTGAAAGAGTTCCGTAATCAAAAGCGTGTGACTCAGCACTTTTCTGGTCTTCATAATCCGAACAATAGCAGCATCAACCTGATATTATATATAAATATATTCAAAAATCTCAACACTCAATTTTTGGTCTCTAGGTTCAAACTCAGCATGCTTATAAAGGACTTTCTTGGTGAAATAATAAGAAATTAGACCTGATATTGACGATCTTGAAACACTCTCTCTGTCGTGCTTGTGTTTTCTTCAACAGTTTCCTTCAGCTGGATAGCGTTAACCTGTACCACACAACAAACTTAGCCTTAATGCATTAAGACCCTCAATTTTGCAAAATGTTGAACTCTCTTTTTCATTGTCCTTACCTTTATACGATAAAGAGGAGCAGTAAATACATCATTGAACATAAAGGAATCATTGTCATCCACCTCCCTGCCTTTTGGATTCTGCGAATTAAGTCAATTAGTTGATTCTCAAAAGGATAACAGAATGAACGGAAATGATAATCAGCTTCAGTTAAAGCCACCTTTTGGAGGACACGAACTTTTCCGCAAGCAAGGGATTGCAGAGTTCTCCTCAGTTCCTTGTCCTCGATGCACGTGGCATCCTTGATATCTTGAAAACTAAGCTTTTGTGCATCATTGAACAGCATCAAAACAACAGTCTGGGACCACATTGACCGATAATAAGATAAGAACATGAAGAAAACGACACCAAGATATATAAATACACACAAAGAGGAGTAAATAGGGAGACTAACCTGAAATAAAGAAACTGCCAACTCCTTTTTACCTTTGGGAAATTCTGCTTTCAGAACACAGTGACCCAATGAATTTTGCCACATTAACCGCCTACCACTGTATTTGCTCAAGTAAAACTCTTTAAAAATGTCCTGCAGATTCAAATTAGCTTCTCAACCCCAAACCCCCTAAACCCTAACATGAACATAACTCAATTATCTTCCCTTCATACCATACCTGATACACATTTAGTTCATGGGGAAGGCGAACATCCATCAGTGGATATGTTGGCCAATACCTGCATCCAAAGGACCACATTAGTTCCGTTGTGAAAAAAGAAAGCAGATCATCAGTCATCTTCATAATGCTTCTAAGGGTCTGTTTGTTAGCAGTTTAATGATCTTAATGCGACTCGCAACTTATTTGGTTAGCCATACATGACTGTTTGGTAGTGGCTTATTGATATAGAACGTGACTTATTCAGTAAGCATCTAGGGGTGAGCTTTATGTAGAAAGCCAAGTTTTTTCCATACCTGCCCCTCCCAATTAGAAAAACGCTCCTTCCATCTATGAAAAGACCATCCCAACAAAAACCTTTCCAATCTATACAGACAGATTAATCCACACAGACAGCTCTATCCATACAGGACTTAATGGAAAACCAACCAAACAGCCTCTAAGAATAGTAAACATACCCTGTTGTCAAGACATGAACACTCATCTCGATTCCTGATGGAAGTTTTGTCCTAGCTTGAGATGATTGCTTGAAAGATTCATTTATTTCTTTTGATAACTCGATGTCCTGCAAAAACGATATTGTAAATTATAGAGCACTATAGTTTGTTTGTCATGCTTATACATCTGAAGGACCTGCTAGGTTACATAACAAAGAAAGTATAGGAGAGAGAAGGAAGATATAGTGCTACAGATACTTTGTATAATGCACCACTTCTGATTTCCAAGCTAATTACGAATCCAATCAAAGCAGGAAAGATATATGGAAATTCTAAAACAAAATAGAATGTAATAAAGCAATTTACTTAACAAGACTGTGTCCTCTCATTAAATAAAAGAATGAGAACAGAAACTTTAGAGTCTACAATGCACACATTTACTTCACATATCTATGGGCTTTATCATTGCTGCTGATGACATGGAGTTCTAACCACCTGTCTCTCCCTTCAATCATTCTTGCTCCTGTACCCCATATATAGATCCTAATAATCGAATAGCTATTTTATTTATGAATTGCTGCTGATGACATGGGCTTTATCATTTCTGTTTTTACCACTAATATAACTGGATCAAATAGTTCACCACGAAATTTAGTGATTGTGTCGATTTTAGTTTTGACCTCCTATATGTGCAAGGAAGGGGATTTTTTTTTTGTGGGGGGGGGGGGAAGGAGGAGTGTCTGAAGGTATGTGAGAAACATTGTGGTCACATTGCATGGTGTAAGCTTGCACGGTGGTGGAGGGACTGGATCGAAAAAAAGAGAGATTCTAGTTGTGCAACTCAAAAGCATGTCATTTGGCACATAAAATGAAAAAAGAAAAATAAACAAACGGAGGTACACGATACTAAATCCATTTCTAGAGATCTTACAAATCAAAATTCTGTAGCTAGTACTTTAACACCCAAAAAAAACATGAAACAACTCAAGCCAATAAGCAAAATGCATCGTTTTTCATAATTGACCAACCACAAAACGTATTAACAGATGAAAAATAAAGAGAACTGAAAATATATCAGGTAATTTTGTCATATTATCGCATTCCAACTTGAGAAGTGTTAAGACAGAGGAATGTTATTAGTATCAATCTATATGTTTTTTTTTTCTTTCTGTCTATGACATTGGCCCTTCTTATCTGATAATTTATATGTGCTTCTCTTCCAATAATGAGAACAATTTTCTAGTTGCTCCAAAAATTCAAACAGCATGACATCAAGAAATTTGCTTTTAGTAAGAAGGCATGTATAGAAATGCACACCTTGAACATTCCTTCAAGCTTGTTTGTAAACTGACTGCCACATTCAGTTTTTAACTGAAACAAGGATGAAACAAATTAATATGACCAGCCGATTGCCGATTGCCGATACCCTTGCTTAAAGCAACATTTAAACAAAAGACTGAACCTTAGAGATCATGGACTTTTCAGCATCAATCGATGCACTCTTTCCAAGCAGTAGCCTTTTTGCAAGATCCTTCTTATAGAACGCCTCGAACACATCCTTACCCTATAACACAAACAGGAAATTTTGGGGGGAAAGAAGCAAGAAGAATATGAAGGATGAGAAGCAGAATATAAAGGATGACATAACAGGAACTGCTGATTTGTTGTGAGGGCTTCTTTTGATAGATTAGAGGGTGACCTGTATAAATCTGAACAGAACTAACACTTTATCAAGAGTGCCCTCCAACTCTTCCTCTGATGTACCCTTATTTCCAGCACGGAGTTTCTCATCCAAAAATTTTGCAATCAACTCAGCTGGCCGGTTCTGTCAACGAATTGAAATTTATTAGTTCAGATCACAAAGACCATAATAAGAAAACACAAAGAAGCAGAAATGACAGTGACATTACAGGTATATAATGGGATGATAAAACCAGATCGTCACGTTTAGCTTCCATAAAATGATGGAGCGAATGAGAAATCAGGCAAAATTTGAGTACCTGGCGGATATTGATAAGATGCTCAAATGCTTCTTTGATCGTGTTGCAAAAGGCTTCATTCTTTGAAAAGCTATCTTCCCATATTGCATCAAGAGATGCCTTAAATTCTAAAAGGGAGAAGACCATGTCTTTGTCTTTTTCTTCATCAGTTACTATGCTCTGGCCCGTTCGTCGGATGTATGAGCTAAGGGCCTGTCGTAAGGATTCGAGGGCATTTACTCTACACAGGAGCACATACATCCTTTGGAGATCTTGAATTCGACTACCATCCATCAACATAATGAAACCCTGGATCCAGTTGTTGCAAAGGTTAATACTTGACGAAAAAAAATTGCACTGTGCACTGGCAAAAAAAGATTCATAAGTGAGAAAATTCCCCTTGCCTTCTCAAGTATTGCAGCAATATGGCGCTCAAGGAGTTGTCTTTCAGCAGTGGCTAGTAACGGCTTTCTTGTACTAGCATCCAGATAGAGTACACATCTGTCATGCTCTTCATGCAATCTTACCTGCAATGAGTTCCTCAAATCCTTAAGACACGGCAGGAATGATCAGAAGATAAGGTACAAGAGTATGTTAGCCAAACAAAAACATGATCATACAAACTCTTGATATCAGGTTCATCTGCTTCGTATCACTTGTACTTCTGCTTTAAGAATAATTAATTACCAAAAAGGTCAACCTACAATTTTGTGGTTTGCCAATTTGACATATCTACTTTTTCTCAGCTCATGAGATGTACCAACTTCTGCCGAACAGTAAAGTTGTTGCTCAATTAAGCTAATGAACCTAGACATGGGATCTACTTGACTAAATTAGTAGAAATTGAATTTATCATCTAAAAGAACAAAGAAATCATTCTACAAAAACCATGAGGAACTTTCACAAGTCAGGTGGCAATATACAAAAGCAGTTTTCTACAAGGGCAGACCATGGCCACTACTGAAAAGTGTTACCCTCCTCAATTGAAGAATCGAGTCCAGGGACTTCAATTAGAAAATGAACTTAACTGTCAGAATAGAAACCCATAAAGAACTTCCTATAATGGAGATCTAGGGATATTAAACACCCACATCCCAGTCCCTGGAGCATTTCACAAGCTTTTTACATATCCAATTGGATTAGATTTTGATTGGAATATATTCGTAAAGGTTTGTTTCTGAATAAATAAAGAATGCATACATATTTCAAAGAATGTAGATTTGGCAAATGGGGAACCACGAATTGCTGACTGGTATATGTTATGAACCGGCTTAACAGGGTGAAGCAAACACAATAATAGAAAGGAAATGCTTGGCCAACTTGATTTCGCTCAAAGTAAATGAAAACAAGATACAGCGACCGGAACCTCTAGCAATTTGAGAGTGCTAGACTCTCCCAAAAGAACTCACTAATTTCTGCATACCTCTCTACAACCAAACCCACTAATTTCCACTAGCATAATAGGATAATTCTAGATTATTCTAGGTATGACTCAAAGGCCCCTTCTGTTAACAGAATAATTCCCCAAAAATACTATAACACCCCTTCTAACCTATTCTAAAATCCATAAGGTACCGATGGGCCTAGGCTTGGGTCAACAAATAACAGTATATTTGGTACTTAACCCCTGTATGAAGAGGGGGTTGATCTAGTGCAGAAATGTGCCTCCAAGGCGAGAACAGAAGATTCTACAGACCTCCACATGTTTCAAATAATCTGAAACATCTGATTGCTGCATGTATTTTACTCCTTCAGCTGCATAGAACTCCGATGTACAGTCAAGGAAGGGCTTCTCGAAACTCTCGGAGTAAATTCCCAATGCAGTGAACATCTTCAAAAGATGGTTAAGCAGGGTCCGATCAACTGCTTCACCTAATCTGGCAAGTGAAAATGGAAAATGCGATAGAGCATATTAGTTACAATTGATACAAAGTGCATTCAGATTTAGGTCCTTTTTTTCCTTACAGTGATAGTTGAGAAAAGGGTGCAATGCAGCTTAATAGCATGTTTATCACAATTTTAAGTTTTAAAAGCACAAAACTGCTAGCGGGCACCTGGCTAAGATAATAAATCCAACCAAATCTGAGTCACTGTCTTCATACAACAAATAATCAACCTTATTGGTTTTTGTTTTCTCTTTCTGCATGAGGCTTTTCTGCTTTGCCATTTCCTTAAATTAGTCAAATTCAAAAAATGTAATTGGTGCATGGAGCAAACATAAAAGCTCATGGACTTAAAAAGTGTGGATCGGATACATCGTTACAACTTATAAAAGGCATAAACACATGCCAGACCACTACTGCACAATGTTATAAAGACAAACATCCAATCCCAGGTTAAGGATGGCAGAATACTAACAAGGGATACAGCTCAATTAAATAGGTAAGATACTACATATTCACTCATTTTTTCAGTTAATATAGAAAAAGGTCAAAGGAGTGATATATATTGTTCACACCAATAAACATATAAAGCAGTTGTTAAGCACTTCAGCTCCATGCACAATAAAAATGCCTTAAAAACAGTTATTATTATCCTGCTTCATGCTCTGACCTCTGAGACAATCATAACATATCAATGCATCTAATTATTAGACTGTATGCACAAATAGTGAGTCTATGGGCTATGATACCAATAGATCAGGTAATCGTCAGTTAAAAGTTCCTAGGGAGAGCTTTACACTGTCGCACAGATAACAGAGAAACTAAGGTTAACATCAGGAAATGATCTGCACAGGAGAACGTAGAAACAGATTATGGTTTAACTACAAAACTGTAACATCTGAAACAAAATATTAACAATGTGATTCAATAAGCCCTATCAGGATGTAAGTCGTAAAACAACAGAAAGATGATTAGGAAGAAAACTAATTAGTGCTACACACCATTACTGCACAAGAATGATGATAATAAATCAAGTGAATGATGAAGATCAAGAAAGGAAAAACTAACTTGAATGATGACAATTAGCAAGGACTTAACCACTATGGTTTAATTGACATTTTTGCTTCAGTAAATACAAAATGGAAAAGGTCAGGCAAACGAATTAGGTCATATATTAATTTGACTGCCAAGAAGATAGGACTAAGAATGTTATAACACAATCTCTGGACCTGCATTCAGTAGGGATTGCTGAACCATAGTTGTATATAAACATCATAGTCATACATGTGTGTGTGTGAATTCTATAACATGAGAGTGTTCTTGTAAACTTGTATCAACAGGGTCGGCATCTTGAAAACAAACATGTAAACAATCTGAATTTAAGGCAAGAAGCATTACATCAAGACGTTAATAGGAGAGAGGGAGTCTGTTAATTTAGACTATTATGATGGTGATGACTTCAAACCTTTCTCTTGTATAATGGTGGTATGAACTTCTAAATCCTCTCATGTTGAGCCAGCCAAAGCGACTAGAATTTGCCCTCAAATGGAGATATGATAACACCAACAATGAAGGTAAAATGGGATGGCAATAAAGAGTGATACATGACAAACATCACCATGATGCAAATGGACAATCTAGACCAGTTCACAGAAGTAATGCACTATTCTCATGATATCTGATCAGTATATTTCTAACGTTGACAATTTCAGACACATGAGATTGTGCAACTATAAACCAAAGCAGCAAATGAATATGACGAAATGATGTTCAAGTATATATAACACTTGCTCAAAAATCCTGCTCGTATGTGGTGTTGAAAGACAAAAAATGGGAAGAATAAGCTGCTTCACATAGACATTGGCATTTGGTGGGCTTGATGAAAGGAAGGGAAGAGGGAGCGCAGATTTCCAGTTTGTTCTTACTGCTACCTACAAAGTTACAGGGAACAAACTCATGGCTCTTTTTGTACGTTAAGAAAGACAAATAACAAGGTGTCACCTGCTCCAGCTTTGCACAAGATTCAGCAAAGTATTTCAGGTTTCAGCTTTAGACCACAAATTTGGATTCGTTCTGAAAACTGACCAAGAAATTTGCTTTTAGACAATCTCAAACCGTTAGTTCCTTATTTTGGATAATTATGAGCACTCATTTCACCTATAAGGCCCACCAACCAAACAACTTTCTGTGACCATTGTAATAATGACCACACATTATCAATGTAACTTTTCAATGCATACAATCTAGAGCATACAGTCCTACAATGACTAGCATGTATTACAAATATGTGAGTAGCTCAGGCAAGCTAAAGTAGTGGGGCATGCAAACCTCATAACCCAAAACATAATGAATATCCGTACCTCTTAGAAGAACTTACGTGCACAATGTTCAAATGACTTGCGTATTTACAAAGTTTTCTTCTCTACGGTACCATTACGTCCAATCAGACTATATGGTAAGTTTTACTATATTGCCTCCAAACCTTAGGATACTGCTAAAGCTAGCTGACAGTACCTCTATGGACAATATATTGTCATCCTTACCATATAATGTGGTTGATTAAGCAAGGGAATAGGTAAGCTTTCAAATTAATTAAGAAGTTAAGACATTTATTAAAATCTAGTTAATTACCTCTCGCTCTCGATCATTTTCAAAAGGCCAAATACTGTTTTGTGCTCAACTTCTGAAGCTATTGATAAATGCTTTCGAAACAGTTGCAAGCCCATGTCCCATAACGATCGCACATTTGTAGTTTGTTTCACATATGTACGGTCAAGATACAACGCTATTCCCCGGATCATCAACAGTTGGTCACAAAAATCTTGCCAGGTTGTCTCTACAAGCGATAAGAAAACTACTAGATCTTCACTTTGGCCAACTAAAGATTGTAAAGTGGCAGATATATGGGATTCACACTCCTTTTCAATCCGTTGGTAAAGATTTCCCCCCATCTTGTGTAGGCAAAGATCATTGACAGCCTATTAACGACAACTATTTAGTCAATAACAGATAGGAATACTACAAGTTATAAAGAATCAAGTAGTCAAACTCACCTGATAAAGCTTCTCTAGGTCACAAAAATCTGGCTGCTTCAAGAATATGGCACTAATAGCTGACTTCAAAACTGCCCATGTATTCTCTTCGAAGTTTGTAGGCAAGGTCGGCTTGGCTTCAAAAAGAAAGAAAAATAACACATTTAATAAACTAAGTTTGAGGTCGCTATATTACCAAACATTAGATAAAAGAACTAGAGTGCCACTTCATCACTCAGATTAAGTATTTATTTTGGAAAATGCATCCATGGAGATGTGACCTTGTTCAGACAATATTTGGCATATTACACTAGACAACGGACATAGTTGGCATGCATATCTAAATACAAATCAGAAACGAGGAAATGAACAATTGACGAGCTGCTCGTCTATGTCACAGAAGCAACGCTCAAAATCATGTCATTTGGACTTAACTGGGAAAAATTAACCATATATTAAGGTAAATGTAGAAGACAGTCATACAATGAATCATGTAATACCCTACATCTTGAATCATGCATCAAGATTTCATTGAGAAGTTTGGAGTTCACACACAGTAACTTATAGAAGTATATAATAGGGGGTTTCACATTACTCTTTCATCTATAAGATCAGGTTGTATGGGAAACCTAATCTTGGCTATTGGTATCCTGATGTTGACTAAAAAACTTGCAAGTGTCTGCAGAATTCGGATGATAATCTTCAGAGCATTTGAAACATTTCTGAGTTGTTGAAGATATGAATGTACACTTGATATAGATATATGGCAGTCTCTTAAACCTAGAATTCCTATATGAGAGGCAAAATGATATTTCCCCTATTTTCCCACAAGCTTCTAGTTATAATTTTATGTGGAAATAGATACCCTGAACAAATCAATTCCTACAAAGTTGAATACTTGTGTGACCAGTCACTATATTTCAGCTTAAAACTCTAACAATTTTACCAATAAAGCTATATATCTGAAGCCGTATATGTTCAATTCAACTAAAAGATGGAGCAGACAAGAGAAGTAAGTTTCCTGCCAAATTAAACATATCAAAGTACCTACGAAATTGAAGTGATAAAGTTAAACAAGAGATTCGAGGACCTTTGAGTAGCTTGATAACAAGCTTCTTAGCAGGCTGAGGAGGTATTGCTTTTTTACGAGCCAAATTGGCGGTGAAGCCGCCAGAAGAGGAGGCGCGTGCACTATCGGAATCAACAACATCGGTTTCAGCGTGATCCTCGATCATGGAAAAAGGGTCGACAGAAGAATTAGTAGTAGCATCATCAAAGTGGTGTTGTTTGATGCCATTTTTGGAGTCGAGAGAGCAGGCAACGGCCTGGGACTTGGCCTTCTTCATGGCCGGAAAATGAGCTCCTCCGTGGGTTGCAGATGCAGCGATAAGAGAGGAGCGGTTGGTGGTGGTGATGGTGGTGGTGAGGTGGGTTTTGAAGGTGGAAGTGTTGGGTTGAGAGAGACTGAAATCAGGAGCTGATGGTCATGTAATTGAGCTCCGCAGATGATGAAGTTGCTTGCGACTGTCACATTCCTCTTTCATTGTTAATTACCATCAAATTTTAGGTTTTAACTTTGAGAAATTAATTCAGATATTTTTTATTCATAAATTACTGTTTATTGATACATATTACTTAAAATTCAATATTATAAGTAAATAATGCATAATTACAACTTATTAAAATTTCATACTTGAATTTGTATAACTAACTATAGATAAACACAATCAAATATTAGATAAACATTTTATTTTAAATATAAAAAATTTAAAATATAATTAAGATAATCATTATCATCTAAAAGAATACTTAATTATTATTTTTATAAAAATTATATTATCAAATAAAAAATAAATTACTTTTTTATTAAACCTAAATTAAATTATAATAAATAAAAAATTAAATTAAAAAAATTACACAACAAAACAAGATTTTTTAAATAGTTAATTTGATACTAAGATCGATATGGTTTTTTTTAATTTTAAGATATCTTCAAATTTATATTTCTATACTATATTATAAAGCATTTGACAAAAACTCTTAAAAACCAATTTTTATGCGTAAAGTACTATTTATTATTGTATATTGCTTAAAACTCAAGATTGCAAGTAAATTGTGCGTAAGTACAACTTATTAAAGTTTCATATCTGAATTCGTGTAACTAACTGCAGATAAATATAATCAAATACATAATAAACATCTCATTTTAAATATAAAAAATCTAAAATATAATTAGGATAATCACTGAATTCTAACAGAGTACTTAATTATTATCTTTATAAAATTTATAACATTAAACCAAAAATAAATTATTTCATTATTAAATTAAATTATAATAAAAAAAATTAAAGAAATTACATAAAAATATAACTTTTAAATTATTGATTTGATATTAACATTGATATATTTTTTTCAAATTTATATTTTATTCAAAAATAAAATCATTATTACTTTATTAAAAACACATAAAATCGTATTATAACATCGACAGAGACAAATAATAAAGAAGAACATTAAAATTGAGATGTGTCTCGCTGCATTGCGCGAGCATTGTTGTTTTTCTCAAAACCACATAAAACCGTATTATAACATCGACAGAGACAAATAATAAAAAAGAACATTAAAATTGATATGTGTCTCGCTGCATTGTGCGAGTACTCTTCTAGTTATTCAAAAATAAAAACATTGTTGTTTTTCTCAAAACCACATAAAACCGTATTATAACATCTACAGGGGGACAAAATAAAACGAAACATTAAAATCGATATGTATTTCGCTGCATTGCGCGAGTACCCTCCTATTTTAATTTAATAATTAACAATGTATTTGTACTCGGATCATAATATGAAACTTTTCTATTTATTTATGAAATAAAAAATATGTGTACAAAAAATCGCATTATGAAACAAATATATATTAATCAATACATTAAGGGTGCGTTTGGTTTGCAGGAATGTTTCTGAGGGATTTGGATTCCATGGGATTTGGATTGGATTGGATTTAAAATTCATTCATGTGTTTGGTTTGCAGGATTTGGATTGAGATTTTTTTTTTTCTTTTGTAATTATTTTAGTCATCAAATCTCTTTCATTTCTCAAAACTACCTATTTACAAACATAGCTATTAATCCAACAGAACTGACTGAAGTTATTAACAACAAATTCATCAAGAATAATTCCAATGAACTGGCCATTTACAAAGCTTAAATTCAAGTGGATATGGGATATTTTCATCATAACCAGGATTGAAGATTAGGTATGAAATAATGAGCAGTCAAGTGAAACAGTGAAAGATTATGTAT